GCACGTGATTAAAAAACAAAACTCTGCCGTGGCAACCACATTTTGGGAGATTCGAGATACCATTTGTACAATCTGGAGACTAGGTCGAAATTCAGGAGTGTGCCAGACAAATCAGGAGAGTTGGCAGGTGTGCTCTTGCTCATGGAGGGTTCTCAGGATCTGTAGCGCCACAATATTCAGCACGTGTCACAAATGCATGATATGCATTTCACACTTCTTAATCCCAAATATTTGAACTTGTCTAGAGCATTATTATGCCAAGAAAGGTAGAGACCCTTTTTGGGTCCTAAAGATGATTATAATAAAAAGAAAATATAGATTAGTTATTATATATATATTAAATGCTACTATGAGGACCACTGACACTCCAATTACTATTGTATATTCTGGTTTCAGATAACTTATGAATGCATACTATTAAATTAGAGTTGTGTGTACACTCACACTGTCAAATCACTAGCTTGTGTTTGTCCATTAAGGCTAGTTTAAGGCATTGTTTCCATCATACTACTTCCCAATACTGGCATTGAAAGTTTTTCACAGGCTCTCAATCACATACAAGGCAACATTGGGGTGGAGGGGAAGGGGGGAGGGAGTTATAAGCACACGGTTTCAATTTATCATTCCAGCAAATGCAGTTAGGATATTGCATACATGTGCAAAGAAAGAGTACAGCAAGAGCTGCATCCACCAGATCATAACGTCAGATGCTATATGATTTGATTATCTGTGAATATACACACAAACATTACTTGGCTTTTTCATTACTGGCAAACAATCACAGACCATGCAAAGTATGCAATAATAGTTCAGAAAACATAACTTTAGCGGATAGCACAGCAGGGGCAGTGCAATCTCCTACAAATTTCAAAACCAAAGCTTCAGATTTCTCTCATTACTGCAGTGAACTTTCTCGGACAGCAAGCATAAGAATTTAAAATTAACTATAACTATGAGTTACTGTCAGTCAATTGCTCATACCTGCATAGGTAATGAATGTTACTACGGCATACAGCTTTGCATAGTAGTGCAAAGCAAGATTGTGTAATTAATTGCAATTACATGTATTCAATAGCAGTAGCTCAAATAGCTTTATTCATGAATTGAATGCCTATTATTCAATTTCTTGAACATCTCATATATTAAGCGATATAGACCCATTTAATATTTACACATACAGATCCCAAAAGACTTCCAGTTTAATTCTTTGAAATAGCCCTACTAAATCCAGTGCATAAAGAAGACCAAAGCCAGTTGCAATATCCAGATAGTATGCAAGACTTTTCAGATAGCACCTAGTATATTATGATGCACAGTTAAAACGTACATTCAGAAAATTCATGCCAAAATGTATAAACAAGATAAATACACTAGCATGATGCATGAAGTGTGTTTTGTAACTGAACATATAAAGAACATGTACCCACATTGGACTAGAACTACCAGACAAATTACTTTAGTTTTCTATCAAACATGGGTACCAAAAAAACGCCAAGCCTGCGTGAAACACACAGCACAGTCACAACGAAAAATAGAAGAGCCGCCTTTTGGAGCCTTTTATAAACACTCTTTGGGTAACTGCTACAAGCACACTGCTGCTTACCCGCTACACCATAAATAATCATAACTTTTGTGTAGTAGGCCAGCCTTCAATATACTATCCTTCATCATTCTTTGGAGAAGCGTAATATCCGCTGCACATTCGTTAGAAATTTTGTGCAATTTTTCATACAGTGGATGATAATGATGAAGAATTATGCCAGAAGTGGAAATGTGCCGTAGTTAATAGGTGATCAATAAACAAGTTTTCCAATGGGTTGGAGCATTGAACGGCCCACTCGTTACGCAATTCACATTGTGCACCGCCTGGCTGTTCCTTTGATATTCTAAAGCGCTTTATTACTCATATTAATGCAATTTTTTTCCCCGACATCAAGCCTGCCTAAAGCCAGTTTAGAAACGACTTCTAAGCACTGACGTAGCTCAGTGGTAGAATACTGGGCTGGTAAGCAGACAACCCGAGATCTAACCGCAGTGTGTCATTGGTTTTTTTATTTACTGCATTTTTTTTCTTTCGATACTGGTTACGGACACCGGCAGCGTCGGCTTTGATCTCATAACAGCTTTCGCTACAAAACATGCTGCCTGAAGTTTTGTTAGGACAAATAGTTCTCCCCCAGCTTGGAGAAAAGAAACTACACCTATGACCAATACTGAACTGCATGCTGCCCTAGGAGGAAGACTCAGCCATGGTAGCAGAAACACGGAAAGTCAATAATTGATTGATATGTAAGGTTTAGCGTGCCAAAACCACCATATGAATATGAGAGACGCCGCAGTGGAGGGCTCCGGAAATTTCGACCACCTGGGGTTCTTTAACGTGCACCCAAATCTGAGAACGCCGGCCTACAACATTTCCGCCTTCCTCGAAAATGCAGCCGCCGCAGCCGGGATTCGATCCTGTGACCTGCGGGTCAGCAGCCGAGTACCTTAGCCACTAGACCACCGCGGTGGGGCGGAAAGTCAATAAATGTAAGAGAAAAAGCAAAAGTCGCAATGAAAATTCTTTCCATCATACTACACTCAAATCTCAATACAAAGTACCACCTTACACGAAAATAGGTTCGTTAAATCCAGAAATTTGTTATAAAGGGTTATTCTTCACACTATATTCATTGTAAGACTATTTTTCATTTACTTCAATCTGAGATTTCGTTAAATTTGAGTTCATTACATTGAGGTGTGGGTGTACCTCTCCATGCAAATATGTAATACAAGCATCATTACAATGCATGTTTTGCTGAAACCAGAAACAAAAATCAAGCCTAACATTGTCCAAAAATACTGCTGTAAAATATTTTGCGTGAAGGTTTCTAACCCAACGGTTAAATGTTGTATGGTTTGGTTAGCAAAAAAGTTCACCAAATACCAAAAATTTACAGCATGTACAGCATTGACCACATCTACGGTGAACACTTCATTAGTATTCAAGGCAGTAAAACTAAAAGGTTTTTTTCTACTTCGTGAAGGAAATGTCAGTTATATGATGTCTAAAAATGGGGCTCATAAACACAATAATTTTTCAAATTATGTGTTAAAAAATGCCAGGCCTGTGGGGAAGGCACAGCACAGTCCCAGCGAAAGCTAGAAGAGCGGCTTTTCAGAATCTTTTCAAAACACTCATTGAGTAACTTTGCAAGCACACTTGCTTGATACCCACTACGGCATTAATAATAAAATTTTTGGGCAGTAGGCTGGCATTTGCTATGCTTTTTTTTGTCATTCTTCTGAGAAGCATGGTATCTGCTAAACACTTGCAAGAAATTTTGTGCTAATTGCTCATGCAGTGGCTGATGACGATGAGGAATTATGCATGAAGTGGGTATGTGCCACAGGTAATAGGTGAACAAGAAAAAGCTTTTGTAATGGGTTGGAGCATTGGACAGCCCACTCGTTATGCTATTCGCATTGTGCAATGACTGGTTGTTATTTCGCAGTTTTAAAACGCATTATAAGTCGTCCACCATTGATGTGGATAACCAAATCCAATAAAAACTGTAACAAAAACCAACTTTCAGCATGCAATGCACATCGCTCCAACTTTTGATTACTTGATCAGATTTTTCTTTTCAGAGTGCTCAAGAAATATTGTTATGAGTAATTCAGTTAGATTTGCTCTTTTTTCTTCCCCTTCAAGAATGAGCGTAATACAAAGGCTTTCAAAATGCTCCCCTAAAAAGATAAATATTACCGTGCCTTTCCTGAGATGTCTTAACTCAGACGACCTTAAAACTATATCTAAATGAACAGTAGGTTAGACATGAAATACAAATCTTGTTATAAGGACTTAGATTAGCACATTAGTAAAAATATATAGAAGTGGACACTGCAACACTGGTCAGTGGCATTTCAGAATGAAAACTCACTTGGGCTAATAATCAGTGAGAACTGACTTTTTTGAGCACACAGAATAGTGTGCCTGTATGCATTGCACACAATAAGCACATTATTCAGAATAACTAATTTTAAGGGCACATATTTTTCAATAGACTGCACAGTTATTTCTAAACAAGCATGGATTCTAAAGCATTTTGTACTGTCAAGCCCATATATATCGAACTCAACGGAAGCCAAACAGTAACTCAACGCATCAATAATAAATCTGTGAATTAAAAAATAGAGGTTACAACTCGAAGCGACAATTGGGCTATAAAAATACTAGCGGAGAGCTACAGGTTTATTTTAAACAGTTGGGGTGTTTACTGTTCTGCTCAATATGAGTGCACAAGCATTTTTGCATTTCCCCCATTAAAAAGCAGCATAACACTGGAAGTTACACCCTTATGGCGAAAAGCATTGGGCGAACAGGAGAAGATAAAAATATGTTGGAAGTGCACTCTTCAGAGCTGGTGTGTTGCAGAGGTCATACAGGAGTAAGAGCACAGTCATCCAGTGGTAGAACGAGAGCACTATTGCTGCGCCAAGAGAAGCCAGGAGCAGGTTGTAGTGCTCTCGCCAAAATAGCAGAGTACGTGCAGTACGAGTCACATGATTTTTAAACATCACATTCTCCATATTTGTTTTCATTCTGCTTCAGCTGGCAAGCATGGTGGCAGTGGTAGCAGCCATGTGTAGTTTGACGCTGCTGATGTTGGCTGTATTGGTGCCACTCGTACGTGTAGTGAGTAAGCAGTTACATTCGATGAATACATCGTTGGATAAATGCATTGTACAACTGTAATTAGTACAATGGCAAACGTGCAACTGACAGATTTCAAGCGTATTTCACTATCATACAGCGAAAAATGCTGAGGCTACGAATTTTTTAATTGCATGGTATATTTTTCCCCACTCATCACCCTTTGACCAGCTCTCCAGAGGTGTGTTACATTCCAGTGGCAGACAGAGTGGCCCTGCTCTTAGTACTTGGCCCCAACTCCTCATTGCACTACCCCTCTACACCTGTTCTCTCAATGAAATTCGCCAACAAACCTACTGCATTTTGTTCAGCATGAGCATTACACCCCTATATTAAACAAAGTATGGAGAAAAAAGGGAGACAAGCCAATACAAATGCTGTTAAGCAGCATGTCTTCGTCCACGCTATTTTTTTTCCTGTCTCTTGTCCTGTTTGCAATGCTCGACAATAACTAGCCTGACTAAAGGAATCATATAATCAACTTCACAACTCGGTAAATTAGAGTTCAACGGAAGATTGATACACTTTTAAAGCTCTGTCACATACTTTACCCCAACTATGCCCCAATTCGCAACTTCCACGTACCGTGGTGCCGCTGAGCGGTGGCGACCGGCAGCTCTGTTGAGATTATTAAAGTTTTGGACCTGTTTAAAACAGCAGATGTTGCTTCTTGTTTTCTTTTTTTGTGGTCGTTTTGCTATGTTGTGAATGGTCTCGATATTATCGTGACCTTTTGAGTTCCTCAGGTTAAAGGGAAAGTAGAAAAACAAAGCCGACTGATTTCACTCCGAGCCTCGATGCTCACCGGGAGGCAAAGTCAGCCTTCCGTTCAAATCCATGAGTTGTAAAGAGGGTTAAATTTAGCAGGAAAATAACCAAGGCCTGTGACTGTATGCAGCACCAATTTTGTGTACGAGTACAGCAACTCCCAGGTTTGTACCTTGACTAGTTTTTGTGCTTAGTTCGTCCGCTCGACATGGTCACTGTACAAACAGTACCACAACTAATTAAGAATGCTGTCCACCTTTAGAATCGAATGAAAGGACCGGTTTAAAAACATTCATCGCATCATTCCACATCTGCAGCGTCTGCGAAGTGCCTCCATGACCTTCACATCTACTGCAATTTGTGTTTGGTATTGCTTTCTGACGATGTCTTTTTTTTTTTTTTTTGTCGTTCCTGCCTCACACCATGTTATTTTTTGTACTTCTCAAACACCAAAACATAAAACAGTAATGGGAACGTCACCTCTTAAACATGAAAAGTGCATATTGCCACTGGTTTAGTTGGCCGCTTGCCAACTTCATTCTCTTGATATTCTGCAGTTGTTTTTTTTAATCAAGAACCTTAAAATTATATTGCTGGTTAATACGACATACATGCCTCAGTTGGTGCTTGTGCTTCGATATTGAAAAACATTTTTTTGTGTCTGCTTATTCTACTTACTACTTTTAGGTGAGCTGAACAAGCTTCATGGCAAAATGCAATGCAAACAAAACTGTAAGATAAAGCGTGTCTCCAAAAATGTTTTTGATATTACTGAGGAATTTGTACTGAGGCTCCCATCATGAGACTTTTCCAATATGACAGCAGGCGTTGCGCGCGATTATGTACAGCCAGCAATGTGGACAGCGTGTGTGCCTTATTTACAATTCTGCACACATTTATCTATTCAATGTGCTACTCGACATTTTTTTATTTAGTATAGTATGTTAGCACGCCCCTACTTTTACAAAAACATAAATCAAAGGGCGACTGAAGCGCGAAGAATTGCACTCTTCGCCAAACGTGTACTTTCCAGTACCGTTTCTCTCGGGACAATCATCTCAACGACCGCCATGTTACATGTACAGTCGCGCCACCTATAGGTCATGAAAGTTGCAAATTGTGGTAGGCATAAAAGGTGAAGCCTGTAATCATTGCTCCACGTGAAAGTAGTGCAGTCAATGAGAGATGGGAGATATGAATACTGTACTTTCTTCATACATTTTTAAGTGAGCAATGTATGATGATGAGTGCATGCTGAATCTGCAACTATCAGCAATGTTGCAATCCTGTTTCAAGTACCACTGACTACTGCAAAAGCTTCTAGTACATGAACCCACAAAAACTGATGGGCATGACACTGCACCCTCTGTGCGATGTACATGATTCATGCTGCCTTCTTGTGTGTCTGTTAAAGGACCACTGATAGCCAAATTTTTCCGTTTGTGACTTTTTAATTAATACCTTTGTGTCTGATTATCATAAAAGTAGGGGTGTACAAATATTCAAAATTTCAAATACTTTTCAAATAGTGTTTGCTATGGAATTCGATTCGCACTAGAATTTCACTATTCAAACTTCCCGAAGACAAATACAGTCAACGTCTAATTGACAGTGGCTTCTTCAGATTTTTAATACCCTTCACCTCATTACATTCTCGTATTGCGGCAACGCTACTTTCCAGGCTCTGCTAAAGCCACAAGTAAATTGACTAAGAAAACACTTGCTCCAACATGGAGATGATAGATGTGGCAGAGGTAGGTGCTCAATTAATGTTGTTATCGATCTTAAATTTGGGCAGGAAATAGAATAAAATCAGACGTAGAAAATTTTTAGCACTTAAAGTTTTCGACGTTCTTATAAACTGCTGTCTACACGGGAAATTTGGAACTTCGGACTCTGAGGGAGCACAGCCTTGCCCACCACGTCAGTTGGTCTTCCACAGAATTAGAAAGAGGAGGAGAGATTGAGGAAATAGCATCTTTGCCTTTCATATGAAATATGTCATTGGCAATACTTTGGTTGCACCAAATCATATACATAAACACAATTCAGCCCCTGCATTGCCTCAATCTGGATAACTATAAAACACTACCACATCAGTTATTCATCAACCCTAGCCAATATAAATACATACTTTCATGTTGCTGTGTCATAAGAATAACTTACGAATTTTATCCAACTTATCTTCTTGCAATTTCCCTTCAAAGTATTTGAAAAATATTCTACTCAATCCAGACTCACTCTTTAATATTCCGTCGCATCCAAAATTTTGCCATTCCCTCAGCTCTACATAAAAGTGAATTGTAGATACTCTAAAGTATCATATAATCAATGATAGGTCAACATCAATGATTAGGTCCAATTTTGGCACAACTGTGTGCTCTAAATCATAAGAACCTAGCCCATCACTATAGTCGAGCGCCATAAGACCACATTTGGCGACATTGACAACATGCTTTTTGAATCGGAACTCTGTGCACAAGATATAATGAAACAACATAAATGCTGTGGTGTTAGCTAGTGTGTGATGCACTGGGCACGTCCTCCTGCCAAAATTTTTGTCAATTATTAGACACCTATAATAGAACAACACATGACACACCTGCCTGCCCAGTACCCACTTCACTGCTAGGTATGTGCTTCCACGTAAAAAAAGTTCCTTGTTACGGTACTCCGATTCTCCTGATCTAAGAAGCCAGATCTACTTATAGCAGCATGAGAACAGAGTTGGGGAAGCGAAGTACAACATGCACGATCAGGTTCCAGTAGTTGTTTTGTGTGTACCCCACAAACTTCGGTGTGTGATGTCAATACTTACAGGTAATCTTAACAGCCACCTAACACGTCATATTGATGATGACGTCCCGAGGTGCTGTCGATTCACGCACTTGCATTTGCTTTAAAACTTCACAAAATTATGTTCAAGGCTATGTTCACCACCAATGTGCCATTAGAGTCACCTATCTATGCAGGAGAATGGGACAAGATGAACATTTCAAGTCTAAAATTTCAGTGTCAGGGGTCGTCTAACTAAATTGTTTTATTTGTGAGCACGCATTCAACTGCACCGACAATCAGTTTATAAGGCCATGGTTACAATGCTCACAAATTAAGGTATACTTGCTGTCATGATTCTCTATCAAAGCTTGACATCATTGAAAATTTTAAAGTGGCACCTTGCTTCTACGTAGCATAACCAGCATCTGTAAAGCAATTGATTTTCAGAAAGCAGTGAAGGCATAATGCCAAAATAAAAACTGTGCCCAAATATGTATCCCACACAGCTATCTACATTAATAAATGACTCCTGTGAACAAACATAATGCTCTAACAATATTTGTGATATCATACATCACTTAGCATAGATAAATTCTGAAGGCCACGCAATAAAAAACCATGCTTTTCGCATTCAAAGCATCTTCCTGAATCTTCACTCATCTCACGGGATTTTCTGGTTTAGTGGGTATTTTGGCTCAGAACATTAAGCAACTGTATGCACATTTCTGGGCCCGTTTCATTTAATTTTGTTCACCAATCTTCCTTTTTTCTCAGTCATGCACTGGGTCTTGAAGTAGCTATAACCACACAGCCTCATTATCTTAGCCCATAATGAACATTAAAACCAATGGTATGGAATATGAACTGTAAGTAGGAAAAGTGGCAAAGTGGCACAGAATTAAAAAGCACCAGAAAAAGCACACACTACAGTATGTGTCCAATGAATTACATTACACATTTTTTTTTTTGAAGAAGAAATAGCAAACTACCATTACTAATAGCTTGAAAAGTGTTGCTTTTCAGCTAAGTGGGCAATTCTACGTGGTCTATATCAGAAGTAATGGATGCTTTATGTGCTGACATTTGCTGCATGGGTACCTGAAGTTCATTACAGTAACCAAATAATGCAAACAAGTACTGGACAACTGCAAGGTATATGAAACAACAAAAACAACACAACCAAATTAATTGAACAGGCAATTCTGCCAGGAAAAGCATAGAGAACATTAATCATTGCATTTAACTCTAGTGCCCTATTAGTGACATAAATTGAAATCAATTGAAGTGGACAAAAAATCACTCTTTCTGTTGGTAGAAATCATGAGTTCTAACGCACTGAACTAACATTCAGGCTTGTCCAGAGAAAAGCACTTTGCTCATATACCTACTATGCCATCTAAGATCACAATCGCAGTGAAAACATACCACCTTTTTCAAAGTGAAATTTGTTATGAGTGCTGTCAACACAGAATATTTTTTAATTGCGATCCGGCAGATGTGTAATTCTTAGTGCATAATTAAGCCAGCCACACACTTTCCACCTCCGATTCAAAAATCCACTGACAAGGTGGCTTTCTGTGACACACCTACAGGTGGGATATGCTGCCTATAAAGAGTACCAAGTGTGTTAATTTAGAATTCAACTCCAGAGTTATTGTTCGCCTTAGTGGATCAGTGGCTAGGGCGCTCAGCTACTGACCCAAAGGTTGCAGGTTCGATCCCGGCCGTAGCGGTCGCATTTCAATGGAAGCAAAATGATAGAGACCTTTGTACTGTGCGATTTCAGTGCACATTAGTGAACAATAGATTGTCAAAATTTTTGTTGCCCTTCACTTCAGTGTCCTCCATAATCATATTCTGGTTATGGGATATTATTATTATTATTATTATTATATATTATTATTATATTATTATTATTATTATTATATATTATTATTAAAGTTTTAATTCATATTCGATTATGTCCTGCTATGTTGACACACTGCAGGGATAGGATGACAATAATTGTGAACAAAATTAGTCCTCACTTATAGAATCATTTTTAACTTACTTATACACACATTTTGTACTATGAAACTACATGTTGATTAGTGTCATGGTTCTACCTGCCATAGCATGGTCACTGGACAAAAATTACTAAAGTAACTATTATGCACATAATGCACTTTGCACTGACCACATAAGGTCACATGAAAGGGCATAATGCACACCATTGAATGACCCACCTCAAGCATGTGAAATCATCAGAGCTAATATTGGTTATCAGGGAATATCTAGAGAGAAACAAAGAAGTCATTATAACATATTTAGGTAAGCAGATCATGGCTAGCCATCATGCATTCCACTAAGAAACGTGATCATTGGACCTGAAAGTCGAATTAATCTTTTATCAAGTCTTGAGGGTCTCTGCAATGCGTCTACTGCAGTGAGTCACAAATAGAAATGCCTGCCTAATAAGTACTGCTCAAAACAATTTGCCTTTCATAGGCCACAGTGCTGCATGCAGGAAAATATATTGTATGCATTAGTAGAAGGAATTTAAATGTAGGCCAAATGTGCACCTATAAATCTACATAGAATTTTCAAGGGCATATTATCACTGCTCACCGAAGTCATAAACTCAAATATCCAAGTTCATTATATAAACAGCCTCAACTGCACTGCGAGACAAGTGACATCAAATCGCAATTCCTTTCTTGTCCCAATAAGGCAAATAGAAGCCATTTATTAGAACAGATGAAGTCTAAACCGTTAAGGATGGCAAACAGTATAACAAGCTTAACTTGTTATCAGTGAACCACTACATCCAATGCAGGAAAGCGCCTAACATCCAAAAGTAAAAAAGAGCCCAACACACTGCAAGTCCAGAACAGGAGGCCAGGCGTCTCAGAAAGGCACAAAGACCAACAACCTGAAAAATAGCCCTGCATGCCTAGCTCTTACGGCACAGGGGTGTGACGGAGATGCGCAAACGGAATAGGTCACGATGGGGCCCCACAAGGAAGGGTGAGGCACCACGGGGCACATCGTTCAGCTCCGCATAGGGCACCAAGTCGTCCAGATTGAGCATGCGTGACTCCTGGGTGAATGTGTGCTCGCGCTGCACTACTGTGCGCACATGCTCCACACCATCCTGCATTCCACTCACCAAAACGCTCACCACCACTGTTGTGTCCTCGTTGAAACGACTTGAAGTAAGTGACAGCCGCACAGTCTTGGCCTGTGATTCCGGCCCTTCTAGTGTCTCGCGCAGTGCAATCAGTAGGAACCCGTGGAACAGCACACCCTTGGGGTATAAGTCAACAGTCCATTCAAGTACCTTGTCTGCCAAGGCGCCTGACAGGCTGGCAGGCGTCATGAAGATTAGTGTATGCACACCAAATCTTGTACAACAGCTGTAATTGTCAATGCACAATGAAGCTGACCATGCGTCTGATGTGTAAATGCGAGGCATCATCAATTCGGGCCACTGGCGCCAAAATCCATTGGTAAGTGCTCGTGTCTGAAAGTCCCGGGCTACCATCAGACGGTTAAAAAAGATGCTCTTGAAGCGTACCACCAGAGGGTGCGTGAACAGCCCATTCAATTCATTATTTGTCAGCATGGGGAACCGTACGTGTGCCATTACCTGGCTCACCAGCTGCCCGAAGGCTTCCTCATTGCCAGGCCGAGTACACTGGGGCCATGGTTCCTGCAGGGAGAGCCACCGGACAGCATAGCTGCCAGGGCCACACACATTATATTCAATAAAAGCATACATTTATGACATGTGACAAAACGATGCTGCTCTGCTGGTATAAGCAGTCATTTCTATATAAAGAAAATGAAAGCTCTGCGTATCATTGTAACAGTGTAAGCATTAATCACCCCAAGCAGATGTGACCTTTTGAATACAGTAAAATGATATATAAGCCTGCATGAACTTTTTGATGGAAGCTGTCAAGGTAAACACACACCACCAATTGCTCTGCCTTTATTGGATTAGTCGGCTTTATATACGTAGAGACATAAACTTTAATTTCCCCAAAGATGGCATCAACATGCCGTGGGAGCTCTCCTACAGATGATTGATTTCTTTTGATGTCCGATGGCCGCAAATATTTCATAGATAAAAATATATAAATGAGCAAAGACTGATAAAATGTCCTGTCTTTCTCTTTACTCATGCATCTTTCGTGATGTACCAGTATTTCATGCTTTTGCATTCTCTTTAACACAGGGTTTATGAGAAAAAATCTAGTGGTGAGCAGTTAATCTTGATTGTTTAAAGTTGTTGAAAGGACCTACAATAGATTTTATGGTGCTTATCTTTTTAAGTGCAATAAAAACCTTACTGGTCAGTAGGTCTATTCACAGAAAGGTAAACTTGAAAATGCCACAAAACAATTGTAATCAAAAGTGTTCTCTCTGCAGCGAATATGAAGTCATACACTCACATGCTGTTAACAGTAAGGGCGGGACTGGTCAGTGTTCGAGCATGGTGGTTTACCGCGCATATGTGCACTCAGTGCGCAAGTGCCACGGCTCGACATTTAACTGGCAGCTTCGATGGCAGCGCCACTTGTCACTGTGCAACTCCTTTTGTGTCGTAAGCAGCACAGAATTGAGCGGGCCAGGATAATAATATACATACTCAAAATTTGCGGATCCGCATGCATGACCGCATCAGACTACTTGACTACAAACAGTAAAGTTATCGACTCTATATTCCGTAAGTCATCTTCAAGGCTCTCCCGCTAAGGTGCGCGACATAATGGTTTTTGTTACTTTTAAACACAATTTAAAAATATAAATCCTCTACACAATGCGAAAAAAATCACTGAAATCTGTAACCATATCATAGGTTTTTTAATTTCTACTAGAATCTAATCCAGGGCTCAGCACTATCACGATACAAGAGTATCGCAATATTATTTCACAGATACTTTGAGTATCAGTCTTGCTGTATCGAGATACTTTTAAAAAATGTATTTGTATTTGAATAATGAAATACCTTTACGATGTACCGCACGTATCATGATACTATCCAGGACATGTGTATTTCCTTACATTTTTTTTTTTTTTTTTGTGGAAAGGAGCTGAGACGTGTTTACAATAGGAAAAAAAATTTTTCTGCTTTGACCTTGGCACCCCACGGTGAGATATGCACCCACTATTTTTACATTTCTGCTGAGCACAAAACTGACTCTTATCTTCTTGAAAGCAAGCTAGTCACTTTGCTACCCGCATCCCGTTGTGCACCTTCAGGCAGGACTGAACTGTATTTGAATGATCGCCTGCTTGAGCTTGCCAACAATGTTATACTGCCATTTTGAATTCCAGCACTGATATTTTCATTGTGAGGAGCATTGTATACTGCACAATGGACGCCAACCAACAGCATCGTTTTTAAGATGTGTTCTCTCATGGAAATTGAATGAGCAGTGCTTTTTTTGTCTAGTTCTTTTCCCGTCATTTTTTTTTTGTGGCACCCATTTGAAAAACCAGAGCTTATCGCGGAAGCAACAAACCACCCAAAGAATTTGGTGCGTGGTGCCGTGTGCCATCAACGATACTTCTTTCTCCAAAGCATTTCTGAAAAACGCCAGTGTGGCCATATGGCGATTGGAAGGAGGTCTTCTTGCGTTTCCTTTCCCATTCCTTGTTTCGTTCATTCTTCTTTCTGCTTTTTCTATGTTTCTAAGAAACACTAATGCTTCAACTGGAAGTAAGCGTTCATCTTCAATTGTTTATGTGTTCCCCTCTTGCTTTGTGCTAGGCCACTTTAGCAAAACTGGAAACCAACTAGCTTAGTAGAAAATCGTTGAAGTAAGCGCCGCCATCATAGTGGCAGCAAGAAATTTAGAAGCGTTTTTTTCTTTCTCTCTTTTTTTTTTCAGAAAAACATCCTGACCGCTGTGAATAAAAGCATACCTTTTCTCAATTCATTTGTATGCGATTCCAGCGCTTCGCTTGAACTATGATACTTCTAGCATAGCTAATACTGTTGTAACCAAGTATCCCGATTTCAGTGTACAATGCGTGTGACTCTTGCTCTCATACAGCATAGTTCTTTATTGCAACTGATTTCTGTAAATATGTTGTTATTAACAATTACGTGCAGTGTAAGCCTCCTTTATAATGCCTTAATGGCACTCAGAGTATGGTGATAAAATAATGAATAAATTCATTTCAAGTTTCAATGCGCTGCACATTTTAAATATTATGCTGCACATAAACTTCTGCACGGAGTATGACTATCCCCAACATAGACAAAAGTATTTAAAGGGACACTAAAGTCAAATAACAATTTACGTCAGAGTGAAAGCTCAATGTATGACAACATCTAAAATGACAATATTATCAACAACAGGGCCCTACTTAGCGAGAAATTAAGGTAAATGCACAAGAACACATGCGTCACAGTAGGACATCCTCAAAATGATCCCGATGACATCAGACGGACCGCCTGCAATTAATCACTAGTAATCGATCTAGCTGCACTAAATAAAGTACCTTCCGTGCATCAAGAGATGCAACAAAATGCTGCTTGTACATTTCTGTTTGATTCATAAAAAAAAGAACTGCCGGGCGTTACTATGGAAAAAAGCGTGAGTGGTTCGAAAATTCAATTTTCGTGTAGTTACACTTAAGGTCCCTAGATAAAACGAGTTTTCAAGGTAGCGACACCTTTCCCTTTCCTCCTCACCTATATTCCTAGAGCGCCCCCTTGAAGGTTCAAAACTTTAATCGAAAGCGAATGTTTGGATTCAGTTGCTATGGTCAATAGATGTAAATGAAACAAAATAGAACGAAATTGGTCGTAGAATAAACGGTTGGCTTTATGAAAATAAACCCTGAAACACAAGAGCAAGCAGGATGTGCGTTACTCAACTGGCAACATTGTGCAGATCTATATTTTACACCACTAGCCATGACGTCTCGCGTCATACATCGTAGTTTGTCCAGTTATAACTAGTCCAGTTCTCTGAATGTGTTTTGTTTGTGCTGTGACACAGTGAACGCGCTTCTTGTTGGATCCTGTCAGTGACCACAGGGCGTGACGTTCTGACGAGTGATTACAACCAGCTTGTGCACACGCAAGAAAAAACTATGGCCAGACTGGTATGAACGCTTCCCTAGCAGCCCTGCGATGACGGTTTTTTTAAATGTGCCCATTTGGTCAATCGTGATGCCAGGTGATTCTGATGTGGTGCTCGGAACTTCCTGAAAAGTGAGAGTTCTACTAGTGAGGTGTCCCAAAGCAGCACGTTTCGGCTCATGCGTGAACTGGTCAAGCGTGAAATTTTTCTGAAGGTGCGTTGATTACACCCTCCAGCTGCTCTGTATACGAGCATACGCACAAGTATATGTACCTACTGGCGTGCACTAGACGGGCATTAGACATGCGCCTGGCATTTCAATAAAAACCGACAAACTCGCTTCGGATATCCGCATTGCACGAAAGCGTTCGAGTGAAATGTTTCATAGCTAAACTTCACGGTGTGCTTCATTTCAGATAGCACAAGGTAAGTTGAAGAGAGCAAAACCGTTTTCTGTTGTTTTACGGCAACTCAGCATTGTTGAAAAACGCAGATATTGCATTTAACGAGCACCACAAAACAATCTTGGTCGACTTGGAGCACACTGAAACGCTCTCCTTTTCAGTTTATGTCCTGGCTACGATTTCGTCTTTGGTCAGGGCAAGAATACAGCTGGAGTCGTATGCTCATGCGTACTCGTTTTGAACCTTTTGCATAACAATAAATAACACCACCAGCCATTTGACCACAGGCAAGAAATGCACCAATTACAGATGCAGATGGCAGAGAAAAAGAGGAGTAATCAAGAGAGTGAGGAGGACGACTCAAGAACAATGAGTTACGCTACCTTAGAAACTTGTTTTATCTAGGAACCTTAGTTACACTGAGCAGGTGGTGCCATCTAGTGGGGCGCAGTTGAACCAAAAAAACGTCTGCAATCTCAGAGCCAATGGTGAGAAATTGATCAATGGTCGTTGTTGCTGCTATGACTTCTGCTGCTTTCTGTCTGCTGCTACCAACGCAGTAAAACCGGGCAACGTTGTGCACGGGAACAGCGACGTGAATCGGTCCAGTCGGTCCGCTTCTTGAAGCGGATAATTTGAAGGGCACTAACCTGATGCGGACCACTAAAATGTACTTTTATTTCAAGATGGGCCCTTCCCTGGCACAAAAGTAAAACTACGAGGTTTCTGGACCACTATTTCAACAATCAACGTCGACTTAAGTATCCCTTTAAGTATCTGTCTTGCTGTATCTGTATTCCGGAACACTTTTTTTTTTCCTTTTTTTTGCAATATCTCTGAAATATCCAATTACTTCAATTACAAATCTATCTCAGTATCTGTATTTAAGGCTTCCAAACCGTGTATTTCGATATCTGTATTCCGGAATACTTTTTTGGGTATCTGTTCCCAGCACTGATCTAATCACACGTTTTGGCCAGTTGTTGGCCTTTTTAATACACAGAAAGTGTTTCTGCCTACTATACTTTGACGTGAAAAAAGTAGGAACAGCAGCTAGGAATTATTCTTGTGACTACATACACAACAGAAGAAACAGACAGTCACTAGGTCACAACAGCAGGTTCTCCAGAACAGATGTAGTACTGAGAGCAAAATTCTAGAAACTGCGAGCGTGGTGACAAAGCTGCATCGGAGTATACCCGTATATAATTGTGTGTGCATTCATACCATTTCATGAAATGAGCATACTAAATAAACAGACATAAGGCTGCATGTGTACAAAAAACACTGGAGAGTGTGCGCGTTTGGCTGGCAAAACTGCAAATGCAGAGTAATGCCAAAAAAAAAGAGCAGGAGGTGTTTCTTTGGCAATCACTATTTACATATCACTTGTTGCATAGAAGATGAGCAAAGCTTTGCATCTCCCCCTCCATCTTACTTTCGATAAATTTTTTCAAGGAGGATTCATCTGCAGGAAAAACATGCAATATGGGACAAAGACCCAGATGAGGAAACAAGTTCATGAACACACTACAAACTGATTTATTTTTGAAAGAACACTCAGTATATGTAACAGTAAGCACATGAGCAGAGGGCTAACACCAAAAGTGATATTCAAAAAAAAAAAACAAAAAACAAAAACAAATTAAATGTTGTGCAAGATGATTGATGCTATGCTAACACACCTGGTGCCAAACAAATTGATGAAGTAAGCCTCAGCCAATTCTTTTGTCACTGTGTCAGGACTTCGCTTTAAGATCTTTGTGAAATAAAACATGGGTACACATGTACAAGACTTGCTATGAAATGGCAGATGCGAATCACATTTTTTATGGACAGTGCGTGCTCCTGTAAGCGAACATAATACATTGGCCTGTTCGGCCAATGTATACGTTACTACATAGCAGAAACTATTTGCGTAGTACCACTATAGAAAAATATGTGTTCAGCATCTGTGGATCTGAGGTAAAGTGCACTGCAGTGGTGTTCTAATTAACAGTTATCAATGGTGAAAAATAGAAAAGTAATACAGCTACCTAAACCTGGATGTAATAGATCACTCTGTAATTCCCAATTTTGTAAATTCATTTCAATTGTTAAAGCCATCCTCATTGAAGCCGGTCTATTTGTGACCTGTTATAGTAAAGGTGTTGCACTAAATGATCAGTCATCAGATTGAATTTTCTTTCAGCTGAAAAGTCTTTTTAATCATTTTATCTTTTATTTCCTGCCATTTCCAGGTATAGTGTATTGTTAATACTTGGTTGATGAGATCCCATTTTGCATAGAAGCCAACCGAAACTCATCATGCCTTCAGAAATGTTTCGACATACTCCCGCTTGAAACACACTTCCAAAGCTTCTGAACAAACATGTAATTACACATTGCATACACTCATTTAAATTATGTTTAACAAACAAGTTAATATTCTCCAAACACACACAAGATGGCCACAACTAGTCGGTCACATCTATGTAGTTGGTGTGCACCAGCTTTGTACAGAACAGACCACTTATAACGAAACCGCTTATTGTGCAAGACCGGTTACAATGCAGTCCCTTTCGACTCCCGTTAGCTGTTCCATAAAACGCTATGTATACGCATACCACTTATTGTGCAGTCTGCTAAGGTGAAAGACCAGTTATAATGCAGTTGCCAGAAAATATATGCAGTAGCAAGTGCGCTTCTGAAAGAAGCTGCACTAGAGAGCGAGCAATGAAGTCATTACAGAGGAGGAGGATATGAGTAGTGATCGAACAAAGGGTGGAGGGAGGAAAAAAAACAGGAAAAGGAGACTGCAACTCACTGCGTGCCCTTGCCAATTGAGGGAGGGGGGCGATTGCTTAGGTGAGGGATAAGCCTTAGTATCGGCACCACTGGAGCTACAGTGTACTATAGCGTGGCTCTAGCTGCTTGGCAGTCGCACATGCCTCAAATGGCACATGCGATCCTGTCTTTATTAACTGTCCTTAGTTTCCTGTCGGGAAAAGTGTCGTCATTATGAAGCTTCCTTCAGACATTGCGTTTGCTAACTCATCCATAAACTTTAAAGTGTTACGACTTTATAACGTGAGCTTTTGCCTTTGCTGCCAATACGCAGTCTTACATAAGCTCGACGGCCTGTTGTCGTCTTTGATCTTCCAGCCACGAATGCAAACTTCGTATCACGCACGCTGTTCTTGGTTTAGAGCTTGAGTGCAATGTTTTCGACCCTCGGTCTTCATGCATTAATTTAATTGAACAAACTTCCTGCGACAACATGCTAGAACAGCAGACTAAGCTTAATCAGCATTGGTTGCATTTCGATAGCAGTCGCATGCAATCTCAGTTGCGGTTAGGAACTAGATCAGTAAAGCTCTTTGCGGTGGCTGTGCTTGAAAATAAGAGATACATATCGTTAATGAAAACGAGTATGGCATGTGTAGCAGTACAAGTGGTGGTTCACGATTAGATTGAGCTGTCTTTAAATTGGGTGCGTGCCCATGAAATCGATTGATCAATGTCGTTCAGCACATAAAATTTTGGACGTGATTCGGCAGAGTTTCTGTGTAATGCGCATAATCGAGGCGGTCTGAGAAGTAGTTGAGAAATGGACAGTTTGCAAAAAAGCTAATGCACACCCCCTAAGCATGAGCACCCCCTAAGCGGTTGGAAAGGTAGCCGACAACTCCCCTCCAGCTTTGGAATTTCAGTACGCTGAGGTGTTGCATGAGGCCATCGCTCTTGCCATTTTGTGGGCACCATGGCTGTACACTTCGTCGCATACTGGTACACAAACTATTTCGAAAAGGGCAACATTAAACTTTTTCATTTTCCATCTGGAAAACGGTACCCGTCCGGAAGATAACCAGCGCTAAAATACGAGATGAATAAAGGAAGCGCCATGATTTGTGTCCTCTCTTCGCGGCACTATTTTGCACTGTTTTCTACCTTATACCTGACTAGCACAGCTCAATCAAGCTCCAAACGATTTCTACACAGTATTGAAAAAGGAGATACCCTACAATCATTTCAGCAGAAACAATAGATTTGCATGGCACATCAATACAGAACTCTTGTTCTTTGGCTGTCTTGTCAGCTACGCTCAGCAGAACTCCAGCAACATGCTGACAAGATCGGCTGAGTATGAAGATATAAAAAATTGGTATGTATTACACATCTAAACATCAAAATACTTGTATAGAGAGTTGAGCCAAGGTGAAAGAAACAAGTAGTACACAGGGCAATGCACATAAATTTACTTGCCCCAGTTGTAAGACAACCTTTAACATTGCAAAGAAACTGCGACCTTGAACTTTACTGCCACATAGTTTTAGTGGCCCACAAAAAAATATGAATGCGCATTTTAGTATCTTGTTATTGTGCCTGCATAAAATCAATCTTCACTATCAATGAGATCAATATGCGACCTCACTGTAAGGGAGATACTACGTAGTTCACTAGTATTTACAAGTTACAAGTATATGCATTCTTATGAGAGGAAGGGTGAATGAAATCAATATGCAATCTCACTGTAAGGGAGCTACTAGTTCACTAGTATTTACAAGTTACAAATATCTGCATTCCTATGGGAGGAAGAGTGGGTGGTGAAAATATGCTACTCTAAAGTAGGAGCGTAGAAAAGACATGTAAACCCAGTGCACGGTATGTTCGTGTAACAGGATTGCACTCGTGAGACAAAATCTGCACTTACACATTTATTTATACATTAGCGTGGCAGCATGCAGCTGTGTCCACGATCCACTGCTTTGCCGGGGTGGAAGCCAAAAGCGCATTCCAGGCAACGTACACAGCAAGCATGCTGCAACATTCCACAACACCTAAGGGGCACCTTGCCGACGCCCGAGTTAGGCCCCGCGGACCGATTTAGCTTGTTCCCACCTTTATCGCACAGACACATTTCATATTTTCCACATGCTTTTCACTTCTGTCGCGTGACTAAGGCGTCATTATGTCTCTCAAATGTCTAAAAAGTATATATCAGTGTAATCTACTTTGCTACAAGCATTAACAAGACCTGATAGAACAAACAACTGTACTCTTCTCAGTATTCTTAGAATCAAAATATTGCCACACCATAATAGTTCTACTTTTGCATACTGCGTCTGCTTTTATTGGAAAAGCAGACATGACCTACTCGCTACGAATACGGCCGTCTACTCTGATAACTGTTCTTGATTGCCCGAAAAATATTTTTTGCTCCACAAGACATATGTGCAGTCTACTACAGCGGTGTGCCCCCTTGCTTTCTTATAGTACCACGCCATAACGATGGAGGCGCCTGTCTTTATCAATGACAAACAAGCTGCCCGAACAAGACTAACTTGTGGGTAACTGGTGTTCAGGTTTATCATGATGTTTTTCACGTAACCTTCTACTTTAAATGCTCAACCACGATGAACCTGATGCACGATCGCTGTGGTTGAGTCGATGTAACTCCAAACCTTGTCAGTGCCGACAAAACATCAAGAAAAATCGCAAATCCAGTCCATGTTCAAATAATAAAACAGAATACACTCTTCTTCCATCATTTCTACATGACAAAAGATAATAAACAAACACGTTACATCAGCCAAATTTCATGTGATCTAGTTTGTTCACACAGGAAAAAACAATACGACGGCGAGACATGTTTTCCCCACATTTACTCTTGCACCCGGCACCCCGAACGCTTCTCAGGCATATGAGGGGCGCTCACTATTTTGAAAAGTGTCCATTTTCGTGATGGTGCGTGCTTTAATTAGAACCGCCTACTTCTTTCCCGTTCATTTCATTGGCAACGCAGGTCATCTTTGAACGTTAAACCTTTTTAATATTCGGAAATCTAAATGGTGGTTAGCCCCATGCATCGCATGCTCGGACTCTAAGACATGTGAGGCTGCATGCTCAACATGTTTTGGGCAACAGCAGCCCTTTAAAAAGATTGTTTAGGTTATAGTGCAGTACTGTTTATATAGTGCGGATATTCGCGACTCCCGTGACTTACGCTATAAGTGGTCTACACTTACTATATAGGATATCTAGGACACCCAAAAAAATTGACAAGGCTTCATATGCATGCTACAAAGCTTTAAAACGAGCACTTACTTGAAAAGTTTAAACTCGCTGGCAATGACTAAATCTGATCTACTTAGGAAGGAGGTCAAGACATCCAGGTCAATTTTTCCAAAGTCTTCTCTGTTAGCTACGAGCTCGAAATTCCAGGCAATGAAGTTGCTAAATACTTTGTGTACTGCAGTAGAACCACAGTTCAGCGCATACCGGTACCAGGAGACCTAAAAAACAAAGCAGACAGAAAATAATCAACTGCCAGTAGATGTCCTCAAGAACCGAAGAAGTAAATATGATTGCACTAATGCGTAAAAAGCAGTTCTGTAAGTCTGTATTTTTAACTGGCAAGATTTAAGGCCAAAAATTACATATATGTGAGGTCCCAATGCAACAGAAATGACACACATAAATAAAAAATTCAGCCAGCTCCTCTTGGCAGACTCATGAAACAGAGAAGCTGGAAGCATACAGAGGGGTTGAATAAAGTGGAAATTATTTGGCATGAAATGGGTGACTTAAGCGTAAGGAGTGGCGGGAGCAGTAGTGGGCATAGTGGTGAAAGGAACAGCACATTTCGGTAGTGGGCTTTACCCACTTGGTGTCATGGTGTCAGAAGTATGTACCCATACCCACGCCATAGGAAATCACTGAGCATTTGCAAGTCAAGTCATTGACTTCTTGAAGCCACCAGATCCCCTTCGTCTGGACGAAGATGTCAGAAAAAGGTAGAAACTGTTTAAACAGAAATTTGAGCTGTTCCTCACTGCATCGGAAGCAAGTGGAAAATCACAGACTGAGGCGACGAAAGTGGCACTACTGCTCAGCATGGCTGGAGATGAGGCTTTAGAAGTTTATAACAACTTCAGCTTCACCGAGGGTAAATCCAAAAACGACTTCGAGATGGTGGTTAAGAAATTCGAAGAGTACTGCATAGCCCAGCTAAATGAAGTCCATGAGCGATTCATGTATTGGCAGCGAGCACAAGCAGATGGTGAATCAGCCAAACAGTTTATCAGGAACCTGAGAAGAATTGCCCAGTCGTGTAACTTCGGTACAATGTCAGAATTTATGATTCGAGACCAAATTGTACACTGCACAAGTAACGAAAAGGTCCGTGAGAAAGTTCTTCGAGACAAAGGGTTGACGTTAGGTAAAGTCGAACAAGTATGCAAGGCGGCGGAACTAGCCACAGCACAGAAAGAAGTTTGGTTTCAAGAGAGTAAAGTCGACCAGGTGAAAGCAAGTGGATCCCCTCGACAGCGGCAGAAGGAATTTCGGTGAAGTCGCTGTGCACGCATGCATGCCCCCCGAAGCTGCCCTGTGTTTGGACGCATCTACAGAAAGTGTGGGGGCGAAAACCACTTTGCGGTGCATTGCAAGAGTGCCAAACAAGTCTCGGAAGTCCGAAGTGGGGACCAAGACGATGATAGTTGTGAAACTTTGAACGTGTCAAACGGCAAGCCACAACGGAACTGGATGGTGCCAGCGCAAGTCTGAAACCTGCAAGTTTTTCTCAATGTGGATACCGGTGCAGAAGCAAACCTACTGCCATATGGTACATGGCAGAGACTACGGCCAAAAGTGCCACTCAAGGCCAGAAAGCGAAGCGGTTCTTCATTCAGATGAGCGAGCAGTCATCAACCACCTTGGGATTGCGATGCTCAAAACCGCAATAGGTGACTAAGTCTCAAACGTAGACTTTTTCATTGTGAAAAAGGGGCATCAGGCCATTCTGGGGCTACATGCCAGTGAACAGCTGGGTCTTTTCACGAGATCGGTGAGCTCAATAACAACCAACAGCAGCGAGCAACTGGTCCAAGCCTACCGAGACATGTTCCAAGGGACGAGGTGCGTCCAGCGTAAATACCGGATGTTGTTACAAGAAGATGCAACTCCAAGCATCCAAACGCCGAGATGTGTGCCTTTGGCATTGCAAGAGCCCCTTAAAGAGGAGCTAGAAAGGTGCTCCAGGCAGGCATCATCACTAAAGTAGAGGAGCCCACGAACTGGGTAAGTGCCTTGGTTGTAATCAAGAAAAAAAAAATGGCAAACTGAGGATCTGTACGGATCCCAGAAGAATTAATGAGTGCCTGAAGCGCGAGCACTATGAAAGGCCAGGGTGCGAAGATATTGAGGCAGGGTTGGCAGGTGCAAAGATGTTGTAGCGCCCTCGTTCGGGCGGCGCGCAAACCGGAGAGCGCGCGATGGCGAGAGAAGAAAATAAAGAAGGCGCTAGGCCGTGGCACGTGAAGCCACGGCTCGCGTTCCTGGCTGGCATCGGGTATCGTTCAGGCGTGTCTTTCTTTCGCTCCTGTGGCATAAGCCTACAAGTGGTGACCTCGGACGAAGACAATGACTGACTCGAATGCACCCTCAACCGAACAAGCCTCACGTCCGCAGGACGTCTCGGCCGTGCAACTGCGTCTCCCATCTTTCTGGCCACAGGACCCGCAAGTTTGGTTTCATCAGGTCGAGGCGCAATTCTCCCTGTACCGCATCGCCTCGGAAACGACACGCTACTACCACGTAGCCTCCGTCCTTCCTCCTGACGTTGCCAGCGAGCTCTCCGACGTCCTCTCCAACCCCTCGGACACTACGCCATATCAGCACCTTAAAACCAAGGTGCTGGAACGATTCATGCCTTCGGAACGCGTCCGCCTACAGCAGCTCCTTGCAGAGGGGGACCTTGGCGACAGGCGCCCCTCCCAACTACTGCGCCGAATGCGACAGCTTCTTGGGAAACACGACGTCTCTGCCCACTCAGCGTTGCTTCGCGAGCTCTTCCTCCAACGCCTTTCTCAGCCAATCCGCCTCGTCTTCGCGGCGGCCGGCGACGTCAATCTCGACCGCCTGGCGGAGCTCGCCGATCAGGTTCATGAAGCGACCTCCCCATCTGTCAACGCTGTCTTACCACCAGCAGACACAGCAATTTCGCGCCTTGAGGCCCGCATCGACGAACTCGCTGCCTCCATTGCCACACTCCGGAGCCCCCTGCAGGAGACTCGTTCGCCTCGTTCCGGTCGTCGAGCTCTTCCACGCACACGAGATGCTCGGAGTCCCAGCCCTCCACCCCTCTGCTGGTACCATCGGCGTTTCCGACACCGAGCCACGAAGTGTACACCCCCATGTTCGTGGCAGGGAAACGCCTGCCGGGATCACTGACGGCGGCGTGTGATCTCCCTTCTCGTCCCAGCCGCCTTTTCATGGTCACGGACCAGCTATCGGGCGCCAGGTTCCTTATAGATACGGGCGCGGAAATTAGCGTTGTGCCCCCGACTAAGGCTGATCGTTCAAAGTCACAGGGGCAAGTGCTTCGTGCTGCCAACGCCTCGTCTATAGCAACGTATGGGCTCCGATCTCTCACCCTCGACTTCGGCCTTCGCTGCATTTTCCGGTGGGTTTTCGTCATCGCAGACGTGGTTCAACCGATCATCGGCTCGGACTTCCTCTCATACTTCGATTTGGACGTCAGCGTGCGGCGGCGCCGCCTCATAGATGGTAAGACTCGTCTCTCCATCTCGGGAGTACTGTCCGACATCGCTCCAATGGCCATCCGCATGCTGATACCTTCCTCACCGTTCGAAAAAATCTTGGCGAGTTTCCCGGAGTTAACTAAACCATGCAACCTCACTCAGCCGCCTAAACATACGGTGACACACCACATCGTCACCCGGGGTCCACCGGCAGCCGCTCGACCACGCCGCCTGTGCGGAGACCGCCTAGCTATTGCTAAACGGGAGTTTGACCACATGCTGCAGCTCGGCATTATCCGCCCGTCCTCAAGCGCTTGGGCTTCCCCGCTGCACTTGGTGCCAAAGCGTGATCCTGGTGACTGGCGTCCTTGTGGGGACTATCGAGCGTTGAACGCCAAGACAGTCCACGACAGCTATCCTCTACCTCACATCTAGGATTTTACATCGCGCCTCGACGGCTGCACAATTTTCAGCAAAGTGGACCTTGTTAAGGCGTACCACCAGATTCCTGTCGAGCCCGCCGGCATACCTAAGACCGCCATAACGACGCCCTTTGGGTTGTTTGAATACGTGCGGATGCCTTTGGACTCCGCAATTCGGCTCAAACTTTCCAGCGGTTCATTTCTGAGGTCACACGGGGTCTTCCTACTGTGTTTGCGTACCTCGACGATGTCCTCATCGCCAGCCGCACACCTGAAGATCATGAGCACCATCTACGCGCTCTGTTCCAGCGTCTTCAGCAATACGGCCTCGTTGTGAACGCCTCTAAGTGTACTTTCGGCGCATCTGAGCTCGAGTTCTTGGGCCATCACATATCATCCAAAGGAATACGCCCTCTCCGGTCCCACGTTAAAGCAATTCAGGATTATCCTCAGCCTACAACACTGCGCCAATTACGCCAATTCCTGGGGCTTGTGAATTTTTCCAGGCGCTTCATACCACACTGTGCCGAACTGCTACGACCGCTCACCGACCTCCTTCGGTCGATCGCCGGCCCGTCCTCCGCCATTCCTTGGTCGTCAGAGGCCCAGGCCGCCTTTGCTGCTGCTAAGCAAGCGGTCGCTAACGCCGTGCTTCTTATTCATCCACGCAGCAACGCCCCTACTCGGTTGATGGTGGACGCATCCAGCGTGGCCGTCGGAGCCGTCTTACAGCAGTGCATTAACTCCGAGTGGAGACCCTTGTCGTTTACTCTCGGAAGCTACTTCCTGCTGAGACCCGCTACAGCGTCTTTGGCCGGGAACTACTAGCCATCTACGCTGCAATACAGCACTTTCGGCATTTCCTGGAAGGATGCTCGTTTTACGTGCTGACTGACCATAAGCCACTGGCATATGTTTTCCGCACTAACTCATCCAAGTACGTGCCCCGTGAACTCCGCCATCTGGCTTATATATCGGAGTTCACGACTGACATCCGCCACGTGAAAGGAGCTGACAACACCGCCGCAGATGCCCTTTCTCGTATAGCCGCGGTTGACTCTCCACCGCCAACCATCGACTGGGCCTCATTCTCCTCGGCACAGCAGGATGATAGAGAGCTTGCCGCTTTTCGGGAGAACCCCCGTTCTCTCCGACTACGCCTGGTGCCTCATCCATTATCATCTGAGCGCTTGTGGTGCGATGTCTCAGCTGACCTTCCCCGCCCTTTCGTTCCCGCTTCATTACGACGCACCGTTTTCCACTCCTTACACGACATCTGTCACCCTGGCATTCGGGCTACTCAGCGTCTTCTCACCCAGCGCTATGTCT